ATGAAATGTCAGTATGTCGAGTTCTTTTGCGATATCGGTCTTTGATTTTCTTTCTTGTCCACTTCATAACTTATTAAATTAACAACAAATTAACTTCCAACTTCTGTGAATTACTTAACTCGTTGTACTTCCCCTTGTTCTCCATGGCGCATTCACCCCCGTTTCACTCACAACACAGAGAGGTAGAGACTGTGCTCCCACAATGCAAAGTTTTTTGACTGAAGGTCGTACAAGGTGTGAATTAGATAGGTAAGGGTAGAGGGGGATATTTAGTGAAAGGGGGCATTAGTCTATATCTATTAATAGAATTCTTCTGAATAGAAAAATGAAGTTTCCAAGGCAATTAGCTGGCTTTGCAGCCATTTAGAGTGCGAAGTTTGAGACAGGTCGTGGAGAAAAGTGCCCTTCGAAGTAAACGAACACGTTTCTGAGCTTATAGCTCATGGGACCAGAAAATGCCTTCGAATTTCATAGTATCCGTATTTCGAATTATCCATACCAAGCGCTATTCTCTCAGATGGGGAACGTAGATGACTTCGAAGTATCCGATACTTCGAACAATCCGATATCGAATTAACGAGGTTTTCTTGTACATAGTTTTTTTCTTTTTAAGAATGTTCATACATCCGCCAACCGACTTTATAATCACCCTGTATAATGCCCCAGATGACTCTAATCTCCGTTCTTAAAGATCTAGTGCATTCACTTGGTTCTAATCTGTTTGAACTTCCCCTTAATGATTCGATCATTCTGGAAATCTGGATCTTCCGGACTAGGCTTGAAAAAAAAAACGAGCTAGGATCCGAATGGGACAGTTCCATTGCCCGCTTTTTGCTTCATCTTAAAATCTCACGCAATCCCTGTGTCGAAAATATCCTCGAGTAACGATTATGTGATGTGAGCCATTGGCGGCTCAGTTCACATCACATAATCGTTCCTTCGCGAACAAATTTCCCGTATAATTCTTTACGAGCCCGATAGAATTTTGCCTCCTGTCGCTGGTATATAGGTGATATATACCGACGGCGGTCTTTTGACGATGGATCGATGATTGATAATGATCTCGTGCATATCGACTCTTCCCGGTGTCGATTTTGGTAAGTACAGGGGAATGAGGGGGGAGTCAACAAATCATTAAACAGTGTTCTGCACTGCAGTGCAAAAAAAAAAAAGTTGCCTTTTTTCACGCCGGCGCACGTACTGTTTTTTGCGCGAGGAGAGACCGGAAGAGCGCGTGAGTCATATTGGAAAATTAACGGAAGTTTTTTGTGGTGTGATGCCCAATCCTAACAATTGCGACTCTCCTGCAGCGGAGAATGTCTCTTCAATATGCCTACAAAATATCCTTTTGTTTTGCCAAAGGGACGCAAAAAACGGCCATGTTGTGTAAATCCTGGGCCCTCGGCCTACGTATTTTTGGAAAAGAGAAGGGGGCTCCGGCAGGATGCACGATGCCAGCGTTCGATTTCACGCAAGTATCGGCTGCAGTGAGAAATCTCTGCGTCCGCGTTTGTAATGCATAGATTTTAATTGCCTGGAAGAGACCAGAACGGGTTTAGAGTCTGCGTTTTCTTGGATCAGACAGAAATCGAGCGGCATGCCGGATCCCACCGTTAGACTCGAGTTCCAACAACAGAGAGAGAGAGATTTAATGATACCATGTCGAATTCCGGATTTGGAAAGCGTGGGTGCTTGACAGAGATAGGAAGCACCTGTTCGGTGCTCCCTGCTCTTCCTTCGGTGGTCTGGCTCTTGGCCGCAATCACACGCGTACGTCTTCCTTCTCTTTTTCTTGCGGAGTAGGGGGGCGTTGCCATCGGCATCAGCAGTGTGTAAACCTGCCGATGGTCGGTGGTCGCCGATGCATCGGTACAACCCGGTACAATAAGCATAGCGACAATACTTAGCAATAATCGCTAGCTTGACATCCAGTTCCGCTAAACTCATTCCCCATTTAAATGACCTCGTAAAGAGTCTATAACTCTCGTTCTCCGTCGTCACTTCGCCCGTGCGTCTACAATAAATTCCATTTCTGCTTCTTACGCTTGGCCTACGATTTCCTGTCACCTATAAATCAGACCGGTTGGCTAAGCATTCTCTTTGACTCCCTTGAATACATTCCTCAGCAAATTCACATTCTCCTCTGCTCTCCCACTATTAGATCCAGGAAACTTCCCTCAAAATCCAGTCTTAAATTACAGGGAGTCTCATAAGTCGCGCACCGTAGGCTAATGTCTCGTTTTTCTTCCTTTTTTACATACCGTTTATATTAGTCAATGGCACTTCGTAAAGACGAACGTATCGAGATAATTTCGCATTTATTCAAGGCCACAGCATTGAACACATTTTGTGAATTCCATAGACTGATAGATTGATATTCCCTATGGTGCATGACTCATGAGACACCCTATAGAGTCGTCCCCCCCCCCCCCCCCCCCCCCCCCCCCCCCCCCCC